CAAGTTCGAGGAGATCCTCACCAGGCTGCGTCTGCAGAAGCGTGGCACCGGTATGCACACACACACTCTCAGCATCTCTACTGAATTAACTTGAAGGCCTTTTCTGCAACTCATTCCTTTTCCTTCTTCTTCAGGTGGTGTGGACACCGCCTCCGTGGGTGGTGTGTTCGACATCTCCAACGCTGACCGTCTGGGCTCCTCCGAGGTGTACCAGGTCCAGCTGGTGGTTGATGGTGTCAAGCTGATGGTTGAGATGGAGAAGAAGCTGGAGAAGGGAGAGGCCATCGACAGCATGATCCCAGCCCAGAAGTAAAGAGGGACGACCTTCCGTTTTTCTCGTGACCATTCATGTGCAATCGAGCCAGCTGACGGGCGTGCAGAGAAAACAGCCGCTCACCTAGAGACTCTTGACTCTGCTAACCTCTTTTACTTCCTTCCAGTTTTTTTTTCCTTTTCTCTGTCCTTGTTTTTTGTTTTCACGTTCTCCTACGTTGGTCGGTAACATCCTGGGATCAGCCTCCACTGAGCTGGGCTCGCCTGGCAGACGTGGCATCACCTACTTTTTTTTCATAAAAAGTAATGATTAATGAAGCTGTTCATATCGCTCAATAAAAAAAAATTGCCCCATGAAACAACTACATCGGTTATTTTCGTGTTTTTTTTGGTCGCAATATTAGAAATCATACTTTTCAAAGGAGAGACCAATTAAATACACTCCAGTGTGTGAGAAAACAAGACACCAAAATGAATAAAAAATGCCAACATCAGTGAATTTTATTCATCTTCAGCTCCATGTTCTCCTTATATACCACAACCACTCAGTCTCAGTCTACACTTTGCTTCCGAGGGGAGGAATTAAACAGTAGAACAGCAAAACTACTCATACAAGTCAAACTGTGTGTGTTCTTCAGGTTCTTTTGCATATAACATCAACTGGTTCCAAAATCAGTTTTGAAATTACAGTGCATGTTAAATACTGAGCGCCCTGGGGTTTTAATACTGTTATCATCCATCGCTTAACCCAGACCAGCGACACACCCTCTCTGAGCAGGTATACAAGCATGTACGCAACACTCGGCTCAACAAAAACTCTTTTCAAGAATTTTTCACAGTAGATTCCACCTTAAGACAACGTTCATCAATCGTATACTAAGAGTGAGTTGTTTTACACTAAGTTATTTGCTTTGTTGCCCGTTTTACTTCACAAATTCCCTCTGAAATGCTCAGCAAACAACCTGATTCCTGTTTTCAATCAGGAGACAGTGACACAACATTTCTATGGCTTGAATGCAACCCAGGGCTTTCAACAAGTCATGAAGTTTCCAGGATCCGTGTAAATTCAAGTTAAAATGGAACCAAACTGCAGAATTTAACCCCAAATGTCCTTGTGCTGGATCTAAAATGGATTTTTTTTTTTTTTTCCCACAAAGGGTACATCGTTGTACATTTTATGGCATATCCAAAGACTTCAATGAACTCATACGCCCTCCTGAATGGACTGAACCTATAGTCTAGCAACGAGGTGGAGTGAAGTCACTGTATCTCACCTGAGCCCTTCTGTTTGTTTTTGAGAAAGGGGAAAGAATCTGGCGCTTCATCTAGCAATTTATGTCTAAAAAACTGACTGTGTCTGCATTTCACAAAGCTTCCAATCCTAGGTGTGCATCATGTTACATTTTTTTCCCCGTAAAACCCAAACTCTGAAGTCATGCAGGATTGCAGGTTGGTTTTGTTCCCCATTGTCACTGACAGAAACTGCTTTAATCTAGAATTACTTCCCTTGCTCTAGCTATAAATAAACCTTGAGCTCTAAGATATATACTATATTCATATATTTTATATACAGTCATCAACTGACTGATATAAATCCTGTTTTTTAATGATATTATTCTAAAAAATAAATAAAGTACCTGTGCAAATATCCACAAATTGAAGTGTTTCACATTTAAGACATTGGCGCCCTCCAGTGGCTAGTTCTGGGTATTACCTATACAGGTACACTGGAAGGAGCTGATTCAAGTCAAAGCAAAGTGCATTGAGGTCTATATTACCTAATGCTAATATACACCACAATGAAAAACGTCCAGGGAGAGGACAAGGACAGACTCCTGGTGCCCACTTTGGTGTCTGCTTCTCACGCTGAAGGAGAGGACGGATCAGAACCGGCCTCCCCCGGTGGGCTCCATGAAGCAGCACACACCAAAGAGGACTGAGAAGATGTCGTACGATGTGAGAGTGGATGACGGCCGAGTGTCTCCCAGTGAGAAACAAAGCCAGACGCTCATCGTGACGATAGAAAAAAGTTGGTGGCAGGAATGAAGGCGGAGGACAGATAAGGTTGGCTTCCCTGTTAAACGTAGGGAGTCGGTGGGTTCATGATGGGCAGGGACGGGATGGGGAGGCGGGTATGGGGGGGGGGGGGGGGGGGTATGTGATGGGGTGGGTGGTTTAGGTCACCATGAGCAAAGCCACAACTGAGAGATAGTATTAACAGTAAATCAGCAGCCAAACAACATGATCTCTGTAGCCTACGTAAATATCACAGTACGTTATTCACTAAAAACAGGGAGGGAGAATAGAAAGCTGTCTCAGTTTTTTCTGTCTCTTTTTTTTCTTTTTTCTTTTTTACATTAAATATGTACTGTATGAAGGCGCTGGGGGTAGTTCACTTTAAAGGCAACTGGACTGACAAGAAGAAAACACCGTCCACACTGCCTTCATCGTGCCTTTCTAGATACAGAACACTCCCCCCCCCACCCCCGATCCCCACAGTCATCAATAATGGACAGAGCAGTTTATATACTGTGCCACAAGAAGAGGAGGATGGACATCTGGGAGTGTGTGTTACCTCTGTGTGTGCAAAGGTGAGTGTGTAATCTGAGAGGTTTTCGCTGCTTGGCTGATCCACTTTTTGGTGTTTCCCACCAACATACTGAGATGACAACTGAGGTGAGATCACATGGCACAGAACAGAACCAATAGGAGAGTTGCATTGCACTGAGAACACACCAGACCTACAGTATCGCTGTGGCGCTTTGTGCTGTGGTGACTGACTGCTTTCGAGGGCGAGGTTAGCAGCATCTGCAGCGCTCCCTTGCTCTGATCACCTCGAAAAATTTAGAGAGCTTTGGGTGGTGAGTTACGGGTCGCTGCTGCCGCCGTGTCTTCAGTACGATGCGGTTGGAGCAGGTGAAGGAACGAAACGGGGTGAGGTCGTAAAACCTAAACGATTGGTTTGGCTGTCAATGACGAGCGCTGACGATGAATCCAGCCAATCAGAGAGCAGCGAGTCCAGAGCCATCAGAGAAAACATATTCAGTAGAACTATGGACCGAAAATCATCGTCTGATATTACGCAAGAAAATCTGCTGCATTGGTTTCATTGTGAACTCTGGTACAGCAAAGACTGTAAAATGGAGCAAAACATTACAGCTCCACCATGTTCTCTACAGGGTTCCTACACATCTGACATTTCTAAATTCCATACGTTTTCCAGACTTCTCAGTAAAAAAGAATTCAAATAGTGAACTTAGTTCACTTGATGTTGTGGGACTTGGTCTCATGCTGGGTTTAGCCAGAAACGCTGTGACTCTCAGTCAGAGGATGCAGTGACAAGACAAAAACGTTTTTTCCCTGCATATGACTCCCAACCCCCATGTTGGAGACGTCCAACGATTTCACACAAAGTCTGCATTGAGCTTTCTTTATCCATTCAGGATCCTTATCCAACCATTTACCCATCATGAGTTCTGTCAGCGACCATACAAGACATTTTAAATCGCTCACTCACAGACTCTGTGGACATCACCTGTCTGTCGGAGCAGCAGTGGAACGTGACAACACCTGGACGGGCCAATGGGGTGGAAGAGGATGAGAGCAGGGGGCGGGCATTCAACTTGTCAATCTGCCCAAATGTTTTCTGGGACGCGTAGCCATGGATCTGTTATATGCTGCGCTGCTAAGGGCCTTAAAAACAGATCCATCCATTTGTTTTTTTTAGATATTCATAATTTTCTGTTGTAGAAAATAGAACTGCGGTAAAAGTCTTGGAAACATGATTATTTTTCCATTTTCCAGACTTTTCCAGACCTGGAAATTTATAAAATCCAATCCCATCCTTCCCATACTTGCGTAGGAACCCTGTCTCTGTCTCTTATGTCCACAAATCGTTTGCTGACCAGTGTGTCTCAAAAACATTATCTACATTTGAAACTTCTGCTCTTGCCATGCAGAGGGACTAATGTGATTAGGAGGCTGGAACTCCACCACTTGGTGAAGTTCAAGATCTCGGCGGCTCATTTGTGTCAGAGTCCGCCGCGGATTGGCTTTTCGCGTTGCACACCGGCCTCTGATTGGCTGTTTCAGAGGCCCGTCTACCCTGCTCCCACTGACCTTAATCCGGCACAGTCGTCACTGCTGTATGTACACGAATCAAAGCAATGCAACACTCTGCGGCCGCTCGTCTGATCACTGCGTCGCACCATCTCCACCTTTGTGCGCGTTATTGTCCCCAGGTGATGAGAAGTCAGCAGATAATCAGTGAGGAGGAAAAAAATGGACAGTGTAGGTAAAGGTGACATAAGAAAAAAGAACAGTCTGAAAAAAACACTGGATGATGTCAGATAGACAGGAGATGTTAGTTTGTAGTGGTGAAAGTGACAGTGGGTAGAAACAAGGATCAGAGCAATAAATAACAAAATAAAGAGTCATTATGGCTAAGAGTAGCAATAAAAAATATTCAACTAGATTTCATCTGATCCAGGTCCAGTGGGTGCAGCAGCTCAGCGGAGACGTGGGCTGAGCTGGGTGGGTGATGGGGTGGACGGGGGGCTTCAGTCTGTGTGACTTCA